TGGCGACTACGGACACGATAAGTGCTGCAAAAATATTAGCCATCACCCCGATAGGAGGAGCCAGTCATTGGAATGTTATGAGCTCCGTTCTGGAAGTACTATTAAATCGGGGCCACACGATTACAGTAGTGTCACCATTTCCGAGGAAGACACCGCACGAGAATTACACAGAAATCGACGTATCTAAACTAGTGCCGATTGCAATAGCATCGCCTTGGGAAACGGTAAAAATATCCTCAAACGATTTGTAAACGCCATTTACGCTATAAGTATTAATATACCTACCATTATACCGTAGATCAGGGGTCTCCAAACTTTTTTATTCAAGGGCCACAAAAAAAATCAAATGCTCTTAGAGGGCCAAAAGTTTATTAACACATATATCATTTTTAATTGTATGATAATATAGGTACCTATATAAATAATATGTTTACTTTATATTTTTGTATAAAATATTGTTTACTTTACAATATACTTAAATAAAAATAAATAGGTATAAATATAATATAATATAAATACATTTTTGAAATAATTTTTTTATCTATATTTACCTATGCGTCCTATGCGGGCCACGGGCCGGTTAAAATTTGTTCAAGGGCCATATCCGGCCCGCGGGCCGTAGTTTGGAGACCCCTGCCGTAGATACATTGAATGCGCAGGCCCGCGTTTAGTGGGAGGCCCGGGTAATTTACCGTAAACATAACATTGACAGATATTTTTAAATGTCAAATTAATAACAATAATTATTATAAAAGCTAAGGGCTTAACCGATAATTCAAATACTTTTGAAATACATATTTATCAAATGAGCGCCGGAGGAGAACATTAAGACTCTACAGGAAGGAACCTAACCTACACGAAACTGGGATATAGATGATTACTTTATTATATGTATCTGATTCTGATAGATTAAAATAATCCCGGTATGAAATTAGTACAATGTTCCAAGTTCAGCACATAAAAAAGGAAACTAAATTAATTGAATAATCATAGTATTATATATGTTTATACATTGTACACTATAGCATATTATTATATACTATTCAACATTTCAACTGTTAAATATTGTGTAAGCGCGGGTTCAGTAAGTCACAGTATGACTTCTGTAATATTTTAGATTACTAGTTTTTTTTATATGATAATATTATAATAATTTATTAATTTATATGAAACAATTTATATTTGTGGGTCAAAAAGCTTTAGAAAATGCAAAGAATTTTAAAACTTAAATTGCCTACTACGGTTTTAAATTTCTTATTATAAAATAATTATTTATTATATTATTATGATTTGTTTACATAAATATGTTGTTGGTATGAGGTTATGAGGACGTCGTATACACGTGTGCTGTCTAGCTATAACGCTTAACATACCAACTTTTATATAACACACATATTTTAATATAATAGGTTGTGAATTTACCCATTATAAGACTTAAAGGTCAGAATATTATTTATGGCCTTACATGAGGTAATATTTATATTTTAATTTAAAATATTTATATTACTTGTTATAAAATGTTAGTAGGTATAAATTAAAATCCACCTGGCGCCTTAAATAATTTACTTATCTTTGAAATTGATAACGTGTCGAATAACTCTACTAAAAACAACAGAGTGAAATGAATCATTCTGAACGTAAAATGTTTTGCGTTAGTTAGACGGAGCACGGAGCAACACGTCATATAGGTACAACGTCCTACCAAAAAGGTTATGCGTTTATAACTAATGGGATCGATAATTTTAAGATTTTAACCACGTATCAAGACAACAAAATATAAAATATTTGTATTGAAATGTAACCATTTAACTTATTATATTAGTAAAGTTATTACCTACTAATTACTAGTATTAGTAGTACTGTAGTATGCATATCAGCATAATATAAATTATGTAATATGTATTCATTATTCGTATAAATTGTACAATAATAATATTAAACAATTGAAAAATTAACAATAAATTATATTTTGTATTAACAAATAATACAATTTTATTAATGTAATCAGAACCAGTTCTTGTCACAGAAAAATAACTATAAATAATGTGGGCAAATGAGTAGGTACCGTTGCTGTACAGTAGGCGTCAAGAAGTTCACTATAGATGTATTAAATTTGAAATCAATAATATAATATCATTGCATATAAAAAAAAATTCTGGGTGAAGTCAGTCTAAATTACTAAGAATATTGTATGATACTATTGCTAATTTATTTTACTATTAGACACCAGTAATAATTATCATTAATATGATAGTATAATTACTATCATTGTGATTTGTGTGTACGGTGTACCTATGCAATATAATAATATACTTTAAAAATGTCAAGTATCCACAAATAATAATTCATATTAAGTTATTAACAAAATAATTAAAATCGTTATTGTTTGTTTGAATATCTAATTTCGTCCAAATTTTAACTTGAAATATCTATAAAAAAAACTGCGATGATTATATATTTTTAGATTTTTTTGATCAATACTACTTAAATGTTCAATCCTTCAATATAAAAAGGTTGGAAAGTGGATGTCACTCTGCTGTACAGTAGGTTACAAGTGGGTCACTGTAATGGATGACATTAAATTTGAATTCAATGATATAATATCATTGTATAAGAAAAACGATTCTGAGCGAAAACTGTCAATCAGCCTATGATATCGGCGATTGTAAACTGCGCCCAAAATACAGGTAAACACAAAATCACACATGTAAACTGCGCCCGAGTTTTTATCAAGAGTAAAAAGGTGACATGTAAACTGCGCCCGGGTAAAATTACAGGTAAAATACTTAATTCGTTACAGCCATATAATTTGAATAATTAAAAATTAAATATAATTTTAAAAATTAAAATAATTATAAATATTACAAATAATTACATATGGTGGATATTACATATTCGTCAATTTGAATTTGACTACTATTATATTTATTAATTAAATTTTATAACTTTTCGCGTTTTTTTTTTGGTTTTAGAGTTTTGGAATTTAAACGGTCCATTTATACTATTTAGTTTAATGTATACTTCTATTTGAATTTCTTTTAACTTTTCTATGAACATGCAAATATTTGGATGAGTTGTTAGTTGTATAAAAGCTGGAATTAAAGTGAGAATGAAAAGATTCGCATGCATTTGTGGTTAGAGACTTTGATAAGTGAAAATTTAATAAGTTAATTAGTCGGGCGCAGTTTACATTATATCTTTTTAACATAGATAAAATTTCGGGCGCAGTTTACACTATACCTTTTCAACTAAGATAAAAATTCGGGCGCAGTTTACAAAAAAAGAGGTAATTTGGGCGCAGTTTACGTAGGTATGCCCTATGATATAACTAAGTATATTTGATGATATTATTGTGAATAAAGTAATTTATATTATATAACCTATTTAGTATTTACGTGGAACCTTGTTTTACATTTTCAATCCTTAGGTATAAAAGTTGAATATTAAATTTTATAAATTTTTATCTACAAAATAATTATTAAATTTTAAATTTGATAAACCTAAATGCTTATAAAAAAAAATGTGCATATGTATTTTAAATATTTTTCAACTGCCATTTAAGCAATATACCTATTATGCCTATTATTTTTGAACCGCTAGTAGTCCAACTTTTGAGAACCTTATATTAAATGTTCAAGCTATTTGCCAGAGTAAAATCAACTATGACAGAAAAAAACTATAACGATTGAAAAGGTGTATAACTAATATCTATAAATATATCAAAAAGACAAAAAATATTTTTTTAATTATACCATGTATAGAAAAAGCTTATATAAATATTAAGGGCAAATTTCAAGTATCTACGGTAATTTATTCGTTTTTAAATTGAGAAATCATGCGTTAGTTTAGCGAAAATACGATGTCTGAGACATTTGAACTTCAAATGCGCACATAAAAAATTCATTTGACTTTTCGGTTAACTCTTTTATTTGTTTAAGGTAGAAAAACTTATGAAAATGTTGAATTAAATGTTAAAATCTTATTAAAAAAAAAAAATTATGCATAAAATGCTCAAAATAATTTTCTTAAATGTTCGTGATTTTAGTATAGGACAATAAAAATGGTTTTCAAAAAATGTCACTTAACACAAATATTTTATCCACTTAACCTTTATCAACCATAAATAACTGCATTTCGATCTGCGAAAACCAATATTTCTTTTTTGAGGGTAAATAATAATATTATACTAAAGTGAACCGCTTTACAGGTGGTCGGAGTGTACAAGCCCCCTATGAGATGTCTGAAATTCCTAAACGACGTTCAACAGCACATGTGCCGCACAGCATTCGACCACCCAGACCTCCAGCTTGCGCTGCACACGCAGCACTTCGATCTCGTAATCACAGAGTTGCTTGCCTCCCGGTGCGACTTGTACTTGGCCAGCCACCTGGGTATACCACACGTGGCCATCATGTCCAGTCAGATGCTGACCTGGTACCAGGATTCGTTCGACAGCCCGTCGAACCCGTCGTATATCACGACCCTGAACTCGCCCTACCCAAAGCCGGAGACGTTCGTCCAACGGTTTTGGAACGTCGTCGACTATGTGACAATTTTTATGTACTTCAAGTACATTGACACTGCGGCCACGGTAATGGGCCGTAAGTATTTCGGCAACGACAGGCCGCACGCTGAGGCCTTACTCCGAAACGTATCAATGGTGTTCCTCAATACGCATTCGAACTTCGACTTGTCCAAACCGTTGGCGACCAATTTCAAAGAAATCGGAGGCATACACTTAAAACCACCCAAACCGTTGCCCACCGTAAGAATTCATATTATAATAAAAAAAAAAATGGTCTTATAGTGCCAAAAACATATCAGGAGAGACACCTCTATATATACCTAATTTTGGCCAATATATAGGTTAAATCTAACCTACTTATATAACATTAATTTTTTTATGTCTCGATAAAAGCCGAAAATATGGTGCAATTGGTGTATTCTTACTTCATTTCTTATTTTTCCATAAGCAGGAGTTGGGTATCGTGTCAATAGTTCCACTGTTCCAGGGAACAACCCGTTAAAAAAATATTAATTTCAACCTTATATAATATTATATATTATGAATTATAATATTATGTAATAATAGAAGATAAATGAAAAATTGTATGAATACAAATGTCACCTATATTATAATCAATAATAAATAATAATATACAAAACATAAAAAAGTAAATAAACAAATAAGATGTTTTCACATCTAAAATAAAGGATTTTCGTAAAATTAAAAAGATTATTAGTTAATTAGTTATCATAGTGGCCTAGGCGATGAAAGGAACTGAATACCCCAAAAATGCTATAGTTTTTTAATATTAATATGGTAAGTGATGGTTAGCCATGACCATGGACTGACCTATAATACCGACTGATTTTGCATATGTATCTTTAATATTTTTGAGCTGCTACTATAACAACTTTTGAGGAACAATGTGTTACATTTTCAAGCTTATTGACCCAACGAAAAAATTGACCGACATTTATTAAAAAAAAAAACTAAAAAATTGTGAATTTAAAATGTCTATAAATAGCTCAAAAATAGTCAACATATTTTTAAAAATGTTGTGATGTATTTAAAATACTAATACAAAAATTTGACGGATAAATCATGTTCTTACAATTATTCGTTTTTAAGTGACACCAAAAAACCAAAATTAATTTTGTAGAATACTGGTTCGCATATAAATTAATTTAATTTAATTAATTTCCGCTTTCCTTAACTTTTTTGTTTTACAATTCTTGACGCTTTTTAAACTACTGAGAATGTTTTACTTTTGACCTCCCAAAGTACCAATAAGATTACTTTACTACCAAAAAAGATGCTGATATAAAAAATCAAATCATTTTTACAGCCACAAAGGTAATGACAGACCCAAATAAAAAAAAAATTAAAACTCACATCATTGTAAAATCAATACATTCATCGCTCCGCAAAAAATCTCAAAATGACTGAAGAGGGTACTTATAATAGCTATGTTCCTAATTTATGCGTAGAAAATTAAATGGATGGCTTGATTGGTGCATTCTATGAAATTTTTAACGATTTATTTTAATTAATATTTGCATTTCTATAAGAATAGAGTCATTCACGTGACGTTCCGAAAACAAATCACAGTTATCAGTCATAAATTCAATTGTACAGGACCTGCAGGAATTTATCGACAGCTCTGAGCATGGAGTAATATATTTCAGTTTGGGGTCCGTGGTCAGGATGGAAGATTTACCATTGGCCATACAACATGGACTCAAAGATGGATTCGGAGAATTATCGCAAAAGGTTTTATGGAAGTTAGAGTCAGATCGACCAATTATCAATCTGCCCAAGAATGTAATTACAAGAAAATGGTTTCCTCAGTATGATATTATAAGTAAGAATATTTCTATTTGATCGATAAACAATAATTATAATTTATTATGTATTATAAATTATAATATACAACTGAATAGTTGTTTAAAATTAGATAATGCATGAAACTCGCATTAATAAAATTGTACCTATAAATGTTAATTATTAGTTAATAAAATAATCAAACGTTTTAACTAGCTCGTAGTTATATACATAACAGCATACCTATGCATTAATTATATTTAACAAAATAAAATAATAATATGTTAACAGTAATACTTAAAATGTTAGTATAAAACAAAACGTACAACCTACTCTAACTACATAAAATATATTCACAGTATGATTTTTATAACTCCAAACAGTATAAATTCTTTTTTTTTTATCCAAATGTATATTTATTTAAATATGTAGAACCGAGTAGTAGGTAGGTAAGTACTCACAATTTTGGTCCTAAGGTTTTTTTTAAAAGTAAACTTTTACATAAAAAATGTTCTAAGTTCTCTTATATATTAATAATGTCATATATAAATTACAATAATTTTTAACTTGCATTTTGAATTTATTTTTAATTAGGTATGTACCTAACGAATAATTCAGTAATCAAATTAACCAAGCGCGCCCGCAAGATAAAAATTACTTATAATCTAATATTAGTTATAGTGATATTGATATGAAATTGCATGCAGTTAAACATTCCCAGGGGGGGGGCAATGGCACCTACGCTCCCCCCCTCGGGCGCCATTGATATTACATTCATTGAGGTATAGAAGGTTAGCTATAATATATTATAATATATATCATTTACAATTTTGTATTTATATCATATGAATTATGAACTATTAACTATTGTATAGTAACAAATAGTAGATCGCATCCCTGTTGATATTTGTACATTGTTGAGTGTTGACTGTTGTATACCGTATAATTGAAGATTTATTAATAATCTTTACGGAAACAGCATTATCGATTTAATGATTTATTATCCATTCAAGCGAGACATTGATAACAAAAACAACAAACGATTACACATTTTATTTATATTTTCTTGTATGAATTAAAAAAAAAAAAAAACAAAGGATAAAGTTTTAAAAGTTTTGAAATTCTTGCACATATGTGTGTGTGTATATTTTTGTTATTTGAAAATAGTAGGGTGGCTTTTACGTCGGCATAAATTTAATGAGATAAAAGAACAAGTTTCAAATAAAAGTTTTTTACAGTCATAAATAACACATAAATAGGAAATGTTTTCCCGGTAAATGTTCTTATGGTTAGAATATCTAGGGGAGGAAAAGAGTTATCAGCGTTCATTCGTGTATGAAGCGCATTGATTTTTCAATAAATTTGGATGGTGGGTTAGAAATCTGGACAGTACCTATTACCTTTATATTTTAGTCCATAACATTACTTCTATAGATAATAATATTATATACACGTATAAATATTTGATGTTTTTTTTTTTAATCAAAAAAAACTTATTATTTTATCTATTCAGTGAATTATATGCACCTTCAAATCATACAAGGGCGAATCCTAGATGTTATCTATATGTACGGAGGGGGAGTGGTATTTGAAAAGATGTCGGGGAAATATGTTAGCCTATATGCAATAGATCACCTGAATATTAATCATTAAATCGTTTTAACAGTGGTATATCGGTACTATATAGATACATTAAAAATGAAATATAATCATATACCTATACCTAATGTTTACAAAAATTATTATTAATTCTACATATTTTATTTTTTAGATCAATTGTTATAATTCGATCGTTTGCTATATTTTGTCCTTTACAACGTGTACGAATTCATTTTTTTTTTATATTGTCTTGTTAATATCTATTTCAGGACATCCAAATGTAAAACTTTTTATCACACACGGTGGTAATTCTGGCGTTATCGAAGCGACTAGCGCAGGCATTCCGGTACTAGGCTTTCCGATATTTTTTGACCAGCCAAGAAATTTGGAACTTTTCAAGCATTGGGGTTCCGGCTTGTTTGTAGACTACAATAATTTTACGAAAGAAGACTTTGTATGCAAGATTAAACGGATTCTAAGCGATCAAAGGTAAGATGAACGTTGTTATTATATAAGTAAACACTTATACCGGAATAATTAATATAATGGTCTATGATACATAAAATACATATAAAATAAAATATCAATAATTTTACATTGTTGAACAAAAATATAATATATTGTACCTATCTACAAACTAAATACTACTATCTAAAAATAAGACATGGGTACCGATTAGTTTGTAAAATTAGTACCGTGGCTATTATTGTGTTCTTAAATACTTCATTATTACTCAGAGCTAAGAGTTTCAATGGTTATTTTTTTTCTATTCAAACTATAAATTACATATAAGTACTCCCACATTAATCTATTATCAATATACAGTATCCACCATTCAGTAATTGGAATAAAAAATATAAAAATGCAATGCTTAATCTATTATTATTATTTAAAATTGTCAATAAAACATCGATGCAGCAAAACGTGTGGTAGGTTCTAAGCCGGTAAAACCCGTGTCCATAAGTTCAGTGTACTAACAATAACAGTTCTTCATAATTGAAGAAATTTAAACTCAAATGAAACTAATTCACATGCTTGATTTAAAAAAATGTTTTGAGTGTAATGATTTATCGATTGTTAGTTAAAATAGAAGGTACCTAATCTCAATTAAATGAAACAAAATGTATACATAGAGAATATAATTTTTACATATTGCTTGCAATAATAACACAATTTTATGCAAACATTCATATAACTATTAATAAATATTATTTGAACTTTAAACTTTTAAGAGAAAAATAAATTTGACCTATTCGAGCAAATAGAAAATATTTTTAGCTATATAATTCGTATATTATTATAACACATTTTAACTTAAGAAAATGAAGAAATCAATTACTTGAGGAAGTAAGTTGTCATCGTATTTACATAACCATTATAACTTGTAATCTTCTGGATAGTTAATATGTAATAAACTAATAACTAATAAGTAACAACTCTTAAAATTTAAAACTATACTTTCTTACTTTTTCTTACAGAATAAATACACAATTGGATATATAAATTAAAATAAATTTAGAATTATAAATATAATTCTAATCCGATTATATTTAAATTACAATATTATCCATCGTAAGTTTAGCAGTTATGATTTTTTCTGCATAATTAAAATCTTGTAATAAAATATTTTATAAAACAGCTACAAATTAAATACTCTATACTTAAACTGAGACATAAATTGTGTAATATAAATAAATTATGACTATATTTAAATTACAAACGTATTAAAGAACATTAAAATATTTATACTTGTTTGTATGCTGAATACCATGAATTAATAACAATGAATTAAGTAATGCATATTGAGTTATTTAAAAAAAAAATATATTGACTTTTATCCTAAAGTTGCTACCTATAATATTATAATGCGATTAATTCACACACAATTGAACTTTTATTAGTACCTATGTTGGAGTAGGACGAGTAGGTATAATTTAAATGTATTACTTGCATGAAATTTACAGCGGAAACATTACATAGATGCGAATTATGTCCGGTATTAGAGATATTATTTTGATTTTTATTCTCAAAATATTTAACAAATTTAAAAAATATTTAAAATTAAAGTAAATTTAAAATTACAGTAAATTATGACCTATGACAAAATTGAAAACATTCCACAAAAATAACGTGTTAAAATAAATTAAATTAAATAGATAATTATTTACGATTCAATTATTTCTTTAAGTAAATTATTTATATAAATAAAATAATTTTGAACATTTATTAACGCATTATTATGACTTATAAGTATATCCACCAAAATGGTACAGAAAAACATTTTTTTTTTTTTTTAACATTTATTAGAATATATACAATCTGTAATGGTAGTTACAATAAGCATATGAGCGGAAAATGTACAAGTTGACTGAGAAATCGTGAGGGGAGTAGCTACCCAACAGTAACACTCGACGTTACAGAAAATCATAATATTGGATTTAAGTAAATATTTGATAAAAGCCATTTGTATTTAATTCCAGGTTCAAAGACAATGCCGTGGATTTATCTCACCGTTTCCACGATCGTCCGCATAATCCTAAAGACACAGTGGCCTATTGGATAGAGTACGTGTTACGACACGACGGAGCACACCATCTGAAATCAGAAGCCGTAAATACTAATTGGTATCAGTACTTCTCTTTGGACTTTCTTGTTATAGCCTTCGTTATTATAATATCATTATTGTATTTCTTTTACAATGTTATTTCGATCATATTAAAATGAATACCTTCAACAACGTGGGATGGTCGCTCGTTTTTATGTTTCTGTTCTAATTCAAATTATTATGTTGTTGGTGGATATCTTTTTCACTATGTCACTATCAATTGAAATATAAGATTTTATACTACTAATAATTATAAACTTCCATCGAATAAATATCAACTGAATTTGTAGCTCCAAAAACTTTTATACAGTTTTCGTCTACATTTTTTTAATGTAAAAAAAATTCCAAAATATCGCCGAGTTGAAATTTATAAAACCTTTGGCCGATTCGTATTTCTTTTATCTTCTCCAATTTTACACCCCTTCCATTACGGTCTGGATGTTGAAACTTTCAGCTCGAAGCGGTAGGTAGTTTCCCCGAATTCGTTCACACAGCAACAGTACAAACAACAGACGAAGAAAAATCAATAACCGTCTTACTCGTCTTTCAAAGGCCAGTAATTAAAAAATAATAATAATACCCCCAAAAGTTGGGCACATCTACAACTCTACAAGTAATGATTTAACATAGATTAAACTTTAGGTATATTATTTACTTTTTAATTACTTGAATATAGGTATACCTAACTTATAAGTAATTATAACAATTATTATATAATTTAATTACATATTCCATAAACTGAATGTGTTTCTTGACCGAAATATTATGTTATATTTTACATGGCATTGCTAACACTAGTGTATTGATATTTGCTACAAGTACATGCAAATAATTATTTTATTTATACTGAGCAGTTACAATATTATATTAACCACCAAATACCTAATAACGATATTTTTTTAGTTTTAATGGTGTACTAATTTAATATAAATATTATGCGCATAATATTCACTATCAAGCCTGCGCTTGTTTGTGTGTTCAGTATTTTTGTTTAGAAATGAATGATTTCTACCTGAACGGTGATTCTCTAATAAAATATACTCATGGGATACAGATATTGAAAAGTTAAAATTGGAATAGAAAATCAATTTATAATATTCCTATGTAGACTGAAACAGAGTTGTATATGACGTATACATTTAACTTAACAGAAAATGGTAGAATCAAATGGGTATGATAAAGCGTAAGGATTTAGCTGGATGTTTTTATAGTTTATTTTAGTAATGCAATATAACATGAATATCAATACACGGGTTTAATGACAATAATAATAATAATTCTATAAAAACGAGAAAATCCATTGAATATCAATAAAAGTTTTTTTACACTATTCAAAATTAAAAGTTTTATTGTTAATACTGTTTTAGTATCCGCAATTTAGGTTATAAGCTATCAATTTATGTTTGTATTCATAAGCAATAATATTCATGAAATTTACTAACTCATTTTATATAATAATATACACAACGTAATTACTTAGTCATAAACCCTAATAAGTAATAAGATAACTTATAGTATGTTAAAATAAGATATTTTGTATTGGAAATGTAGGTTTATAACCTAGAAACTGAAACCTTTATTTCTAGTTAATTGTAAAACGTTGACAATATTAATAAAAATATACAATTTATTGAGAGTAGGTATATAGTATATATTATATTATATATATATACATAATATATTTATAGTATAATAGGAAATAGCTGACTATTTTTAGTTTATATGTTTACATCATACATTTAATAAATGGTATTCTATATTTTTATTTATTTATAAAAGTATCATCATACAATATTGATAAGCTTAAAGTATAAGGTTATTACTCAAAAATAACTGTAGCTAATAATATATTCAGTCAATATAAAAACTACACAAGTATTAAACTATTGTTTGAAATTTTACAAAATAATTAATGCACTCTAGTTAAAAATATTGTAAAATGTAAAATAGTATTTTATTTGAATTTATTTACGAATAATGAAAAAAAAAATCAAAAGTACCTAGTTATTATAATATTATATCGGTAAGTACCTCCACTAATATATTTTTTATTGAACACAAATTTTATAATAATTTTTGCAATTTGCAATTATATTATATACATTTTATTCTCATAAAAAATACATATTTTGTAAAATAATATAATAATGTAATAATGTACATTAATAATAATTAGCGTTAACATCGTGTTATTTAAAATAAATGATTGTAAAATACTTAGGTACCACTTTAATTTTCTTAAATTTTTTTTAATGTATGGTCTATTACTGTTTTTTTAAGGTTAAATAAGTTTAAATATTATTTATAAATTATATAAACCATTTAATCATATATTTTAATTTTTAAGTAAATGTTGCTTCTAGATTGAAAGATAAAAATAAAGTTAAGATAAAAAAACAAATCAGCCAATAATTATCAAAATCCTTCTTAATTCTATGAACTATGAAAATTTATAACTTCTTATAACTATAATTTTTTATTCAAAGTAGTTTAAGCATATTTATGATTCATTTTAAGGTCCTTAATATATTTTACATCTTTATAGTGAAACTAAAAATTTAAATATACTGTAAATGAGTTTTGTAGTCTTGGAATTAAATTAGAAAAATGAACTAAAACGTAGGTATAAATGGTTTTTTAAGTCCTTTTTAACTTTCTTAAAGTCTAATATCAAAAACTGGTAGAGGCAAAAAATAAAACATTTTGCACGCAATAAAGTTTAAAACATGAAATATATTGTTTACTAAAAGGTATAGGTGTGGGTGAAATTAAATTCAAATTGAACTTCTACAAAAGAATTCCAAAAGTGTATTCTTCGTTTAGTTCCACTTGTTCTAGTAAAGCATCCTCTTCAAAAATTCCTAAAATAACACGTACAAGTAAATTAAACTCCTTCCTAAATTTATGTTTAGAAATTACATTAATTTGAATAAAAATGCACTCAAAATACAAAGTCGTTGTAACTATTGTTAACCCAATGGAGTTTAAACACCAATTTAAAATCAAACCATTGACCTTTTACAAAAACTTCTGAAAAATATTAAAATCAATAAAAACGTTGTTTTTAGATTTTAGAAACTAACAGAGTGTTGTTATTTAAAATAACATTTAAACTATTTTATAGTAATTTATTTCACTATTAAAATTAATATTTGTGTACCTACATTGCTTAATATACCTATATATTATTATAAATCATTATTATTACAAATTATCGTATTATTTTACAGCAATGATATTGTACAGTATGTAAAAACTATTTTGTCTATAAAAATAAATTATAAATTGAATGTAAATAAAGGCAAAGCCTCTGAAGTCTGCTGTCAATGTTATAATTAAATAACAATAAAAACAATTTTTTTCAGTTACAGCAATAGTGCACGTTGGGCACCTTCAAAGGAAATCGAAAAAATCCATATACTACATATTAATAAGTAATAACCCACTATGTTTAGTTTCTAAAATGCATTTTCTGATCAAAACGTTAGCTAAATACAGAGAGCTCAGCGTTTTTAATGTTAATGACTATTTAATTAAAGCAATAGAGTAATGTAACTATATTCAAAAATTGCAGAACATATGAATTCTATAGAAAGATCAAAAGTCTGTTTACAGCTATTATATCATATATATTTGTTCATGCATTATGCAATTATGTATAGAATGTATATATAAGGTGTCTAAGGTCTACATCATCAAAAATATGTCCAATATAATGCAGGGCGTAACATTTTGGAGTCTAGATATTAATATATTTCCATAAGCTTTTTGCAATTTTTTTTAACATTGGATAATTTAATAGAATTCACTTTTAGACGATGAATTATCAAATTAAGTATTATATATAATATTATTAATATATTATATTATTATATTATTATTATCATTATTTGATGGGAGACGGGAGTATTATGAGTTGTTTTTCTATATTATATACAATAAACTATAAAAAGTACTTATAAATATGGGAAGTATTCAAACTTACAAAAATGATTGTAAAACAGTAAATGGAAATTTTACAATTATTATTAAACTGTGAAATAGTAAAGAATATTATTAAAAATACTTTCTGACATATTTATATGCAGAGTATATTATATCCCACCAAAAATATATATGTAAAATGAGAGCCAAGTTCAATACTATAATATATGCCTTGGTTGTTGACTTCAACGACAAAAGAAGTGAGATCTAAATGGGTGCCAAGTTAGGATAATATATTGAAGCCTAAGGTCTGACTTGGCTAGTTTTCATATACGGATTATTAAGTTCCTACTAAAACAGTACCTAATGGAAAAGTGAAGATGATTTTCCGAAGAATAAAATAAGAACTCAAAGCTTTAGAACTTGCAAATTCTATAATATAATTCGTAGCCAAGTCAGACCTTAAGCTTCAATATATTATCCTAACTTGGGACCCATTTAAATCTCACTTCTTTTGCCGTTGAAGTCAACAACCAAGGCATATATTATAGTATTAAACTTGGCTCTCATTTTACATATTATATGTTTTTGGTGGGATATCATTACTTTTTGTATGTAAATTATTATAACCTAACCTAACCTAGCTATGACATGTTCTATAAATAAAGTGTATTACTATATACTATAATTCAGTTACTGACATTAATAATATTTATTATAAAATATTTTCTGTTGTATACAGAGTATAAAATATAAAATTAATATAAAATTATTTTATCTCTTTTTGAGTATATTTTTAATTATCATAATTTTCTTTACTATAATTTCTACTGGTGGGTGGTTAATTCATAATCGTAAGATAAATTATTTAATTATTTTAATTGTAATTTTTTTTAAATTAATATTAATTACATACATAGAAAAAAAAGTATGTTGCTACGCTCGGGTCGCCAATATCGACACATATTCGACTGGACGTATTTTTGGAGCGGCGATACGGAAAAGGTTAGCGTAGCTATTTAAGTCAACATTACATTAAATTAGATACACTTAATTAATTAATTGAAAAATTAAATATAATAGATAAAATAATTGAAAAATTATAATAAAATCAATTGATTAAAAAATTTAAAAAATTTCAAGTTTCTGATTTTTTCCTTTGTATTAACCTAACTACCTATCTGTATGTCAAATT